CTTGTGGTGCTCATCTTGGTAAATATTTCAGTAACCTGGTCTACGTTACAGGAAGAGGGCTTGGAGATAAAAATTGCCTACCACCTCCTCTCCATTTCTAGAAATAAGTAATTAATTTCTCTAAAAGGAAAAAACTGTGCTAATCTCTGCCTTTACTTTGCTTACAATTGTATCATGAAGTTAAAAATCTTGCTATTGTTTTCTGACTTTGATTTCATGAGAACTGAAATCTGTACCTGTGTGATTTCACTGCTCACTCAGGATTCCGTTTTAATCAACAGCTGAAATACTTGTATCAATTTAGTCTTCAAAAAGGCAAAATTGTCTGGCATGAGCTGGCTCTTGAGGGGTCTGAGTTCCAAATTCACATGGAGGTATGAGAAATTGGGCTTTGTGACATAAGTTGCGTTGTACTTTTCCCAGGTGCGTCTCTTCTACCTTCCTCTCTCGCTGCACTACCTTGGTGAGTACAGTTCCTTCTGAAGAAGGGACAAACTATCAAGCGTAAAAATAGATTTTAAAATTGAAAAGTTGTTTTAAATGCCCTGCTGTAGGGACTGGCATGTACGTCTGTGGTTGTGTGTTTGTTTTTTTTTTATTATTCATCTAATATAAACCTTCCATCAAAACTCAAAGGCGACAAGTGCTGCTGAAACCTACTTGTGCAACGGTATCTTGTTATCTTCTTTTCTGAACTCCACAAACGCTTGTAACAGAAACCATGGTGACTCACGACTTGGGCAAATCCTCCTACGCAGTTGCTTGTCCTCTTTCTTGTCTTTTCACTCTTGCAGCTGATTTCTTCACTAGCTGCAAACCGAGACCTTGGGTTTCGTGCAGCACTAACTTTGTGATTGTGTGTGTGTATGTGCTACTCAGTACAGTGGGACTCCTCACCTTCCTTGTGCAGGGGTGTTTAGCTGCTATTACACACTGTCAGTTTGTAAACAGGGACCATTCAGAACCTAAAAAGCTACACAGGGTTTCGTTCTTGGTGTGAGTAGTGTGCTGAATGTCTAGCCTGAGCTTTTTCTTTTACTCAGCTGACACTTGGAGGCAGTAAGTGTGATTACTTATTTTCAGCCTAGTGTTCTCTGAACTTCACTAAACTGAAACTCCCCGTTCGGTCACTTCTGTCTGTGTGTCAGTTTAATGACTAAAGAGAAGCAAACAGATAAAGAGCAGAAATAAACACAAAACTGTACTGGGTGAGTAAATTAGTTGGATGTGCCTTTTGAGGCATCAGGTGAAAGCTGTGAAAGCTGCCTTTTGTTTTACCGGCAGCCTTAGCCTCACTTCTCACTTTGCAGTCTAAGAGCACCACAGCTGGCAGTCAGCAAAGGGGAGTGGAGTTACAGAGCCAAAAGATTTTAACTGGGAAACCCCTCAATCCATATCTTTCCTTTCTAACAAGCTGCCACTTATGACAAAGAAAAAAAAAAAATAATCCCAACAAACCCAGATTATTTCTTTTCCATTTTCCCATATCCACATCATCTGCATTGTAAAAGACTTTAGCCAGAAAGCCACAGCCCAGATACTGCAGTTTTAGCACTTTCTAGTAAAAGATGGAAAATGTACTCTTACATTAAGTATTTACTCTTAATCAATCTCTCACTTACCTGTGTGGAATCTCTCGGTGTCCTGTCTGAATGTGCTGCTGCGAGGAGCCTCTGCCTTGAATGAGGAAGTGCTGGAGCAGGGCAGGATGTGGAGCAATGACTCAGACATCGAGGGCTGTGCTTCTTGACTAGCTGAGGAGTAAAAGGAATTGTTGACGGCACTCGGCGTAGCCTGATCATCTGACGTAAGGACTTGCTAGCTACCACTTCACCAATAGAAAAAGCTCAGGACCATTCAGTATTTGACCTTTCATCTTTTACCAAACTTTAGCTGCTTATGATAATGCAACGTTCTGGTATTGCAGCCCTTTCCAGGAGGACTGTCTGCCTTTTGTCCAATAAAACATATGTCCCTGTCAAAAAGCATTTCTTTGCATGAATATGCCACTTGAAGGTGTTCAGAACAAAGATTTTTGTGATGCTTCTGAAACAACTCTTGCCTCTTAGCTTAAGCAGGCACTTGAGACTTTGCTTGGTTTGTTCTTTTGTCTTTTCTTACATAAATGTCAGTTAAAACTAATTGTATTTAGTGTCCTATACACCTGAACACAGAAGCTACCACTTGCAGCTTCTAAGCATGACTTTCCAAACTCTACATTGTCAAAAAAACTCTGTCTCTTATTTGCTCTGTAATCAAGCACTGTTGTTTCACTGCTTCTCCACTTTTGATGCTCAGGTACCGAGCAAGTTTTACCCCTTATTTTTTCAGCCAGCCATGGTAGAAGCCTTTCTCGTTCTCTTTGAGAGAGCTCTTGCTTGCGTTTTGCCGAGCTGCCAACTTTGGCATGGGTGCTTGGCATGCTCTGCTACGTCATTTCATAAAGGAATTTAAGTTTTCTATGGACATTTGCTAGCATGGCCATCGCCTCACTGGGGTTTTGTTGAACATAGTTCCATAATGTCACAATTCAGCACTCGCTTATCAGAAATGGAAAAAGATATTAGGTGGATTCTGTTCAACTCCCATCTTTAAACTACCAGTCTCTGGGTAGTCTCTCTTGCATTGAATTGAATCCTTCTGACATCTCCCTTTGTTTATTTTAAGAAGTGTGTGCGTGCATACACCTATAATGCACTGTTAGTGTTGAAGTTTTCATTATATAAACATGCCATAAAAGGTGTACCAATTGTTTGAATTACTAATTATTTTAAATCACTGTTCATCTCAACTCCACCTCTACTTCGGTTGAGCAGAGACCTAGCTATTTAATCATGCTGGATTAATTTAAATATCTGTATGTAACATATACAAAAAAATTCCTTAAACTTTAGAGTAAGTCTGAATTTTTTAGTAGTAAACAAGAAGTTAAATAATTGAAGAACCTCTAGGAAATCATGTTTCATTATGCTAGAAAACAAACAAAACCCCTGCAGTCAATGGTTTGAGAAGTAGCAGTTGATAAATTTGTCAGCTTCATGGTAGCTTTTCAGCAATACACAGTTTCTCACCCAAGTGATACTGTAATGGAATTCTCTCCTATGACAGTTATAATCCTGAGTATTTCCTGAGGCACTTCACTTTTGGAAAGCTTTGAATGCCTGATGCAACCCACATTAGATGGGTGGTAAGACAGCCCAGAGGAAAATACTTCGCAGTTCATCGAAGTTATTCTGTCTGGCACTAAAGCACAGAAGTGGAAGGCTTCCGAGACTAAAATTCCTGATGAAGTACTAAAACCATCTGTGACCACACTAATATCATGAGAAAGATGTATTATTTTTTTCCCCATGCTCTTCTGAAAGCTCATTTCTTTATAGGATAATACTCCTCTTAAATCAAAGCAGAAGTATTGTCCAAGTTCACACAACTGTTGTAATCTGACTCACAGATGCTATGTCTAACTCCAAGTAAAATAAAATCACTCCATAATCAAGTTCAAGAAATTGAAGCTGTATCCTTCATGCTTCATCTGCTAATTTCTTCTTTATACACTTGGAATAGGTCTCTAAGATATTACGTGCCCCAGTCTAAATTTAAACCATCAGCTAAGGTAATTCCGTAATGTGTCCAGTGATTCGAACAGCCATTTTCAGTACAAACCTTTGAAGTCCTGCATCACTAAATACTCCGTGTTTTTCTTGCATTTGGTCTTTGAAGTGCACTGGCACAGTGATTATGTACCATGTAGCAAAAAAATCATAAGAATGGAAAGGCTGCTGTACTCCAGCTTTGTGCGTTGGTATCCTCTGTGTCTTCCCTTCCATCCTTTTCTCACACTATTGCTGTCCTCCCATCTTGTACGAGGAGGCAGCAGACCTGGATTACTAATGCATTCTTCCAAAACAGCTCAGTGTACAAAAATACAGGAGTCAGACACCTGTCTTCTAATGGTCTGAAGTGAATGTTGCGTGTCTGGAGGGCACGGCCATACAGCTATTACTCAACTTGATTTTCGGTGATAAGGAGAAAGAAGTCACGCTGATCTGTGACGACTGCTCACTGGGATAAACTACACCAATATATACGGGGCGTATGGCTGTTTTTTGGTTGAAGGTTGGTTTTTTGGTGTTGTCCAAGCTTGCTAATTGCTCGTGTGACAGAAGTGAGGTACTGTGACTGCTTAGTCTTCCACTGCGCTACACTGAGTGTAGTTACATATGAAATAAAATGAGGACTTGGCAGCAGTGCCATACTGGCTTGTAACTGTTTATCTTGACAGATACAAGATTGAATGATTACACACACACACACACACACACACACACACCCCCTTCCTGTTTTCCAGTGTAGTGCTGTTAAACTTCACATGGGTTGAGCCATCTGAAGGAGATTGTTGCTGTTATGGCTATACAATTTGTTCATGTTCTCTCAAAATCCAGCCATAACTTTCCCAGGATCACAGAATGTTTGAGATTGGAAGGGACCTCTGGAAGTGATCTGGTCCAATCCCCCTGCTCAAGCAAGGCCACCAGCTTGATCGTCAGACAGAGCCTCCTGTGTGTGTTTGTGTCCATTGTCTCTGTTCTCATCACTGGACATCACTGAAAAGAGCCTGGCTCTGCCTTCTTTGCACCCTTCCTTAAGGTATTTATATACATTAATGAGAACCGCCCTGAGCCTTTCCTTCTCCAGGCTGAACTGTCCCAGCTCTCTCAGACTTTCCTCACAGAAGAGATGCTCCAGTCGCTTCTTCATCTTTGTGGCCCTTCATTATACTCTCTCCAGTAGATTCATATTTCTCTTGTACTGGGAAGCCTGGAACTGGACCCAGCACTGCTCTCCTTGAAGACAGGAGTGACATTTGTTCTCTTTCTAGTCCTCTGGCACTTCTGACAGTTGCCCTGATCAATCAAAGATTGTCAAGAGTGGCCTTGCAATGATATCTGCCAGCTCCCTCAGCACTCATGGGTGCATCCTATCAAGGCCCATGGACTTACGTGTGTTCAGTTTACTGAAGTACTCCCTGACCTGATCCTGTTCCACCAAGGGTATGTCTGTCTTGTTCAAGACTTTCCTTCGGTCTCTGAGACCTAGGATTCTTGAAGGCTGGTCTTGCTAGTAAAGACTGAGGCAAAGCAGGTGTTCATTATCTCAGCCTTTTCCATGTTCTGTGTAACCAGGTCCCAACTCCTTCAGCAGTGGGCCCACATTTTCGCTAGCCTTCTCTAACTTTTGTCTCTTACGTACTTATAGAGGCCTTTCCTCTTGTCTTTGTCCTTGACTGGATCCAGTTCCAGGTAGACTTTGGCCTTCTTAACCATGTTTCTGCATGCTTGGACAGTGTCTCTTTATTCCTTCCAGGTCACTCACCCTTGTTTCCACCCTCTGTACGCTTCATTTTTGTGTTTGAGTTTTTCCAGGAGCTCCTTCTTCATCTGTGCAGAGTTCTTGGTGATTTTTTTCGTATTTCCTACTCGTTGGGATGGATCAAACACAGAACACAAGTATGTTGAGACAAGCTACTAAGCTGACATCAAATCCTTAGGCTGATTTGTGTACTAAAGACCACTGCCTAATGCCTTGTTGGTTTTCAGTCCCTAGGGCTGCTCACTTCAGTGTTTGGAGGTGTTCAAATGATCAGTAGGTTTTTCATGCTGCTTTTAGGTTTTTCTCTCCTGCCCCACCTCCCGTTTGCTGTGTCCTGCATATTTGCTAAAAGTAAAAGAAGCAAAATACAATCTCAATTTCCACAGAATACAGGAATCCTTTTTGGGCAACTTCCTAGCTTTGTTACGAAACACAGTTGCCTATGTATCTGCTCATTGAAACACTGTGAATTGAACACTTCCCAGAGTCAAAGCCAGACCCTTTTCACCACATGCAAGTGAACGGACGGAAGAAGGGAGGGTTCATATAGTTTTAATCTCCAGTATCTGGAATATAAACTTGGATTCAACTAACTACTGCTGTACACTGGACAAGAGACCTGTGTAATTTCCTTTGATGCTATGTTAGCATGTTGTAACCCTGTGATGTTCTTCTCTTAATTGTATTTTTCCCTCCACTTGTGTTTATAGTCAGAATGGCACAGTGCTCCAAATAAGTCAGCTACACTTTTGACTGTTACTCATCACTAATCATTAATACTAATGTCTGACCTGGAGTTATCAATAAATTTGAGTTTTTCCCTTCGCCCCACTCCCCTTTTGTTATCAGGTGAATAAAATATATAAACAGTCTTAATCAGGCCCACTTCCAAAGGGAAGTGTGAGCTCCATTTGTCTTTCTGAGCAGAAGACAGCAAGTTGTATTGTGGGTAAGGCAGTATAGCCCAGCAGTAGCTGTAGATTGCCATGCTTGTCTTCTCTGCTTCATTTTGCTAAACCTTATTCTTTCTTCAGTCCAGGTGTAAACAAGAAGACTATTTACAGCAGGCTGGTGAGCAGTTGAGATCTGTGTACTTTAACTGACATTTTGGGTTTGGCTGTAGACTGAGGCTTTTCAGCCTATGAGAAGCATTCTCGGTTGTGACTGGTTTCACTTGTCTCTTCTCATGTGAGAGAACATGATCCGTTCATGTTACATGGCTAGGACTCTTACTCCAGAATGAGGGAAGACACAGAGATATGAAGAGATAATCAGTGCTCTTGTGGGCATTCGAACCATTTGAGTAACTGCTGAGGTTCTTTCGTGGTGCAACTAGAGTAGCAAAAATTGAAGAAGCATGTTCGTTTGCGAATGAAGAGGCGGTAGTCAGCAGTGTTGCCATCCAAGTTGAGAAACGTTCTTTTAAGTTTTGGCAATAGGAGATACTTGGCAAGAAATAAGCATACATGGCTGAGGCCTAATGACCTAAATGTGCAAGCAGAAATGGGAACAAATATTCAGCTTGAGTGTGAGAAAGGAATGAGAGCGAAGCTGATCTTTTGCTACTTTTGTCAGCTTGATCCCTGAAGCGACAAAACTGCTGGGCTTATTGATTAGTTGCTTGTTCCTCTCTTAAGGCATCTTTTCTCTTTTTTTTTTTTTTTCAGAGTACCCTGAAGCAGCTGGCTGCCCAAGTGCTCAGGATCTCAGACACTCAGAAGGGAGTGCTCTGCTTTTTCTGCAAAGGTGTTCATGATTGTATTTGCCACGAGGCTTCTGCACTTCCTAGGGAATAGCAGCAAGCGCTGGGAGGTGTGGAAAACATAAATTGCTCCATGTATCTCTGCTTTCCTCCCAGCATAAGTGAGACATAGAATAGAATGCTTCAGTTGAAAGGGACCTACAACAATCATTTAGTCCAACTGCCTGACTACTTCAGGGCTGACCAAAAGTCAAAGCATGTTATTAAGGGTGTTGTCAGTGTTTAAGAGGCGTTTGGACAGGCTTGGGGCACTGACCACCTCCCTAGGAAGCCTGTTCCAGGGTTTGACCACCCTCTCAGTAAAGAAATGCTTCCTAATGTGACGTCTGAGCCCCCCTTACAATCATAGACTATCTCAAGTTGAAAGAGTCCCATAATGATCATGGAGTCCCACTCCCTGCTCCTTGTAGGATTACCACATGACTAAAAGCATCGTCCAGATGCTCCTTGAGCTCTGACAGACATCAGAGTGCCATGACCACTTCCCTGGGGAGCCTGTTGCCTGGTGCAGATTTGAACCGTTCCCATGCATCCTATCACAGGATCCCAGGGCGAAGAGCTCAGCCCCTCCCTCTCCACATCCCCTCCTCATGAAGCTGTAGGGAGCAGTGAGGTCACCCCTCAGCCTCCTTTTCTCCAAACCAGACACAATGACACGGGCTGGCCTGCCTGGTTAGCTGAGCAGGGCAGGCAAGGCTGACTAGGCTGGGCAAGTATGCTGCAGCAAGGAGAGCCTGGTTGGTGCTTGGTAGATCCTCACAGTGAGCAAACTGTCATCATGGGCTTGACTCACCCCCCAGTTGTGTGTTGACCTTCCCAGCTTTCCTGGTGCTGCCCCATCTCGCCAGTCTTTTGAATGATTCGGTGAAAAAGCATTTTGTTGCATTTCATCTTTCTGCACTGGACTCTGGAACATCTCAAAGAGCGCAAGTCTCTGGTATCTCTCTCTTTCAGCCACTTTTTTTTCTTCTTGCCTCCATTACAGCCGCTGTTATACTCTCCTACTCTGTGCTGGCCAAAACAGGGCTCACAAGCCTGCTCGGGGCAGAAGGTTGAACGGGTGGTGTGAAGTTTGGTCTCGTGCAAGGGATTGATTCAGTAATGGCAGGGAGAGGGCTCTGCTCTGTCTAGAAATGCCTGGGGAGCACACACACCTTCTGACAGGTATTTCACATTCCAACCAGCTTATTTGCAACTATAATAAAATCTTTGATGATGTAACTGGGTTTCTCTCTGGCCCTGTGAACTGCATAAGCCAAGCACTGAACGCCCTCTCTGTGGTCTCCATCTGGAGGCTCAGCGTGGTCACAGTAATGCTGTCGGCAGTCCTTCAGAGATGCAACTGGTCAGACTATTGCTAATTATAGGAGTGGTTCTTTAGGCATGGCAGGGAAACCATGAAATCCAAGAGCAAAAAAAACCTACAACTGGCTTTGTGCAACACTAAGTGTGCTGTGTGGTGTCTTGTATGAGTTTTGCCAAACCTAATGCATACATTTGTAAATATAAACAGTGAAATTGTTGCATGGAGGAACACAGCTCTCTGAGTGACGCTTTTCCTTTAGACCTCATTTTTGGGTTGCAAAAGTGCATATTTTTGGCTTGCCACTCTCTACCATGGAAGACGAGCTGCCTGGGACATTCCTGCGGTTTGTGTTTTAGGCTGCTTTCCAGGAAGGCTGTCAGCTTTGCTTTCTTCTAAATCCGTTTTCTGCCCTGCCCAGTGATCTCAGTCTGCATGCCAACCTTCATACCTGTCTACCATCTCTGTCTTGCACAACTACCGACAGCAACAGTACCTTGAGCATCCTAGAGCCTTGCTTCCCTTGTGCAAGGCAAGGCTAAATGAATCATAAGACTTTGCTTAAGGCATGTAAATCTTTTTTTTTTTCCTTTCATCCCTGTCGAGGCTTGGTTCATACCTTCTCTAAAGCAGAGATGCCTTCCAGGGTTGACTGAACCACTAGTGTGAGACAAAACGTCCTGGTTTGGCTCGTAGAATCATAGAATGGTAAGGTTTGGAAGGGACCTTAAAGATCATCTGGTTCTACCCCCCCTGCCATGAGCAGGGACACCTTCCACCAGACCAGGTTGCTCAGAGCTCCATCCAACCTGGCCTTGAACACTTCCATGACCCAGTGAGGCTCTAGCACTTGTAGTGGCCATGGCACCAGTGGGAGAGCTCCCCTCCTCTGCATGGCGCTCCTCCAGTCCTGGGGGCACAGGAACTCCCGTTTCCAATCTTGATGAAATCTGAGCTTTGTTGAATATTGTACCACAGCCTAAGTCTCTCTTGCTGTTTTTTTGCAGAGGACTTTTTGTTTCTGGAAGGTTATACTCTGTGAACACTAGTAGCAATCAAAGTGCCCATTTTGCAGGTGCTATCTGCAGTACTTTAGAATCATAGAATGGTTTGGGTTGGCAGCGACCGTATAGATCATCTAGTTCCAATCTCCCTGCTATGGGCAGGGACACCTTCCACTAGACCAGGTTGCTCAAAGACCCATCCAAGCTTGCCTTGAACACTGCCAGGGAGGGGGCATCCACAGCTTCTCTGGGCAACCTGTGCCAGTGCCTCACCACCCTCATAGGAAAGAATTTCTTTACCCTGATCTATCAGAAATTGGTCTAATAGAAAATTGCTTAGTTCAGCACAGCTGCTATGCTGCCAGTGTCCAAAGGCCCTTACACCCCGATACCCTCTCTGTGGCTGTGACCCACGTAGAGAGCAGGCTGAGCAGAGACTTTGTGACTGGAGAAGCATATGGCAGTAACTCTCCAGATCTCTCCCTGGCCTTCGCCCAGAAATAAAGTATTGATTTTTAGCTAAGCCTCATGAGAGGAAGAACAATTTTTCCCAGTGTGAAAGTTCAGGCAGGCTCTAATAACTGCCTGTGTAATTATCAGCTTGATCCCTGAAGCGACAAAACTGCTGGGCTTATTGATTAGTTGCTTGTTCCTCTCTTAAGGCATCTTTTCTCTTTTTTTTTTTTTTCAGAGTACCCTGAAGCAGCTGGCTGCCCAAGTGCTCAGGATCTCAGACACTCAGAAGGGAGTGCTCTGCTTTTTCTGCAAAGGTGTTCATGATTGTATTTGCCACGAGGCTTCTGCACTTCCTAGGGAATAGCAGCAAGCGCTGGGAGGTGTGGAAAACATAAATTGCTCCATGTATCTCTGCTTTCCTCCCAGCAT